AAGATTATTTTTTTTTTAAATCCAAACTATTGTGACACCAGATCTAATTAGTGGCACTTGTCAGCGTATCCACTGTTAGCGTAACACACCCGCTTTAAGGACACTGACTGCCATTCAATCTATAACAGTGAAAAAAAGTTTTTTGTTTTTTAAATCCAAACTATTGTGACACCAGATCTAATTAGTGGCACTTGTCAGCGTATCCACTGTTAGCGTAACACACCCGCTTAAGGATACTGACTGCTATTCAATCTATAACAGTAAAAAAAGTTTTTTGTTTTTAAATCCAAACTATTGTGACACAGGATCTAATTAGGCAATTTGTCACAGATCCACTGTTAGCTGCAGAATACCGCTTACATGACACTGACTGCTATTCAATCTATAACAGTGAAAAAGATTATTATTTTTAAATCCAAACTATTGTGACACAGGATCTAATTAGTGGCACTTGTCAGCGTGAGATCCACTGTTAGCGAACACACCGGGGCTTTTAAGGACACTGACTGCTATTCAATCTATAACAGTGAAAAAAGATTATTATTTTTTTAAATCCAAACTATTGTGACAGGATCTAATTATGGCACTTGTCAGCTGCGATCCACCTCGGTTAGCCGCAAGTAACACAATCTCGCCGCTTTAAGGACACTAACTGCTATTCAATCTATAACAGAAAAAAGATTATTTTTTATTTAAATCCAAGCTATTGTGACACTAGATCTAATTAGTGGCACTGGTCAGCGTATCCACTGTTAGCGTAACACACCCGCTTTAAGGACACTGACTGCTATTCAATCTATAACAGTGAAAAAAGATTATTATTTCTTTTAAATCCAAACTATTGTGACACAGGATCTAATTAGTGGCACTTGTCAGCGTATCCACTGTTAGCGTAACACACCCGCTTTAAGGACACTGACTGCTATTCAATCTATAACAGTGAAAAAAGATTATTTTTTTAAATCCAAAACCATTTTCAGGACACCAGATCTAATTAGTGGCACTTGTCAGTATCCACTGTTAGCCGCACACCCGCTTTGTATGACACTGACTGCTATTCACCTTATAACAGTGAAAAAGATTATATTTTTTTAAATCCAAACTATTGTGACACCAGATCTAATTAGTGGCGGACTTGTCAAGCGTATCCACTGTTAATGCAACACACCCGCTTTTAAGGATACTGACTGCTATTCAATCTATAACAGTAAAAAAGTTTTTTGTTTTTAAATCCAAACTATTGTGACACAGGTAAGATCTAATTAGTGGCACTTGTCAGCCGTGATCCACTGTTAGCGAATACCGCTTTAAGGACACTGACTGCTATTCAATCTATAACAGTGAAAAAGATGGCTATTTTTTTAAAAAGCAATACGTAACCGGAACGAAGTGTTTGAAGCCATTGCATTGCTATTAAAGGGCTTTAATGCGTTGAGGCAACCGGATTAACTTATTGTGACCATCTCAGACCTATCCGAAATACAGTAGTGGGCACTATCGTACGGGTTCCTTGGCCACATATCTGATATTAGGTATATTTATATTGGAATTTTTGACCTTCTATACTTCTGCAATATATTTGACCAGCGTGTTCGTAATGTTTGTCCTATTTATGTGGGTTTCCAGGCTGCTCTCAGACTTTGATACTCCTTCATGGGGATACTGTTATTATTGCACCTTTTTGTATTAGAAGGTTTATCTTTTCTGTAAATTGAAGTATGTTATTATACCTGTGTGTGTGTGTATACTCGGGAAAGGATACCTTTTTTCGTATGGCTCCTTCCTCTGATGTTGTTTTGTCTATCTATATTGTTATAAAAATTCAATAAAAAAAAGATTGAAACAAAAAAAAAAGATATATATATATATATATAAAGATAGAAATAGATATAGAGATAGATAGATAAAGATAGAAAGAAAAAAAAAATATATATATAGATATATAGATACATAGAAATAGATAGATAGATAGATAGAAAGAAATAGATAGATACATAGAAATAGATAGATGATAGATATAGATAGATAAAGATAGATAGATAGATAGATAGAAAGAAATAGATAGAAAGAGATAGATAGAGAGAAAGAAATAGAGATAGAGAGAAAGAAATAGAGATAGAAAGAAAGAAAGAAAGAGATAGATAGAAAGAAATAGATAGATGGATAGAAATAGAAAGAAATAGATACATAGATATAGATAGGTAAAATAGATAGAAATAGATAGATATAGATAGAAAGATGGAAATAGATAGACAGATACAAATAGATATAGATAGATAGAAATAGATAGATACAGATAGATAGAAATAGATAGATACAGATAGATATAGATATAGATAGAAATAGATAGAAAGAAATAGATATAGATAGATAGAAAAAGATAGATCGATATAGATAGATATCTATATATAAAAATAGATATATAGATAGAAAAAGATGGATAGGGATGGATGGATGGATATGGATGATGGGGATGCATGGAGAGAGTGTGTGTGTATGTCTTTAATTTTTTACTACTTGTGTGTTTGCATAGAAACACTATATATTTGTATACAAACACACAAAGTTTGGCTGAGAAAGGGGGGCTGGTATAGAAAGTGAGATGAGCTGTCAGTCAGACAGCTCAGCTCGCGAATGCGCATTCCGCGCACATGCGCGGTTGAGCGCTGAGTTTCCTCATAGGGCGGCATTCAATGCCGCTCTATGAAGAACGCGATTGGTGCAGCACGAAGCCGTGCATGCGCACCACATCGCGATGACGCTTCTCAAAGAGAAGCGTCCTATTGGGCACTGCGATTTCGTCATTTTTACGAAAAAGGTGGCGTGGCCTGGTGGGGAGCTCGGCGCTGGAAGGGAGGTAAGTTTTATTATTGAGGCAAGTTCATATAAAAGCAAGAAAGAAGGCTGGGGGACCTGTCTTTCTTGCTTTTATATGTTAACTATAGTGTCCCTTTAAGGTAACCAGGCTCCCTTACCACCTCATAAAATTACATTCAATATCCATAGTTTGTCAATGCATCCATGATATAAAACACAATACATACATATAAACAACAAAACAATTAAAAAAGAGTACAACATTTATTTAGCAGCAGGCGATTCCAGAAACCGTACATATGTATTTATCATTATTATACCAATAATTTAGAATTGTCGCGTGAGCATGGTGGATGATTAGAGTAATCAATATATATTACAAATATAAACCAGTGTCATTATTCACAAGGCCTATTTTTAATAAAAACCAGGGTGTCCAGATCTTATTATACTTTATTTTTTTATAATGATATCTTTGTTGAAAAAGTATCTCTCAGGGCGTGGCTTGGACGCCGAACAGGATGGACATCTAATCAGTGAGCTCCGCTCCACCGGCCCCCAAAAAGCCCTACTAATTAGCCACCCACAGCTTTAATGGGACGGACCCGACGAGACGAACCCCCGAACCCCGAATTTTTGCAGATGCCGGCAGCAACACGCGAAGAGGCCGGAGGCCCCAAGGTGAAGCCTGCTACCACTCCGCCTGATGATCACCCTGCTTCCACCCTGGAGGGCATCGGGGAAGAGATTCGCACAATGGCGGCCTCAATGGCTACAAAAGCAGATCTCCTGGTCCTTACCACCACGATTCAGGACGCACTGCGGGATCTAATGGCCGGAATCCGGACGGAGCACTCCCAGGCGGCACAGACTGCCAGACTGGCGACGACGGACACAGCACTCACAAGGCAGGGTGACCTGCTCTTAAAACTAAGGAGGTCGGTTGAAGATCTTGACAACTGCGGACGCAGGTGCAACATAAGGGTTCGCGGAATGCCAGAAATAGAAGGTGAGGAGGACCTCTTCCGCTTGATCTTGCCTGAGGATACACAGCTGGACATAAGGTACGACAGGGCACACAGAGCATTGCGGCCCCGGTCGCTTGAGGAAGGCCCAAGGGACATAATATGCTGCATACACTACTTCTCAACTAAGGACGCCATCATGAAAGCGGCCAGATCCCGACCCACATGGGACTTCCGAGGGGCACAAATATCACTATTCAACGACTTGTCCCCAGTAACCTTAGAAGCCAGAAGAGGTCTGCGACCCATCACAACGCTACTCAGGGATCACAACATTCCCTACAAATGGGGGTTCCCATTCACCCTGCTGGCGAGACACCGAAACGGGTGGGCCTCAATCCGCTGGCCGGAGGAGGCACCCGGCTTTTTAGAGGAACTAGGCCTTCCACCCGTACAAATACCTGACTGGATCCTGGGACTTCTCGTGGCTGGTCCGAGACCCCAACGGGCTCCTAGGCGACGCAGAGGAAGATCACCGCCGGGACCGGCACAGCGCCACCGCAACCCACAAGGAGTCCAGGAAGAATAGCCCCCACCCCACTACCAATAACCCGCCAGGCAAGCACTACCCCACCCTCCTCTGGAAAGTAACAGGGACATGTCACTGGATTATGGTCCTCCTGGGCCATGAAGCCCCAACGGGACACCAACCCCAATCCTAAGCCTCATCCCCTGAGGGGAGACCTGGGTACGCACAGAACTTGGGAGGGGGACGGGGGGACTTGCAGCGTCTTCTTCTCTCTCCGTGGGGGGCGCACGTTGCCAGTACATTTCACCATATGCAGGACACCCCTGAACGGAGAGCGACATGGGACACCCTCACCTTCCACAGAGACACTCTCAACAAACGCACCCCACCCTCTCTACCTGTGGGCACCTAACCTCTCCCCCCCCACCTTCAAGCACATTGTCGAGGAGAGCCGAGGTGGCTTTGGGGATGAAGGACAAGAGATGGGGAGATGGATTGGAGATACCACACCTCACTGAACGCAAGACTTTAGATTTCTCCACATACCGCTACACATAGAGTCATGCTGGGACATACCACCCTAACAAGCTACCCGGGACTTTAGGCATTTACAGCAAAGAGACTACCAGAGAAGAGAGTCCCTCTGACTTGATAAGTATCAATCATTACAAGCATATGCCAATATTGAATAACTGCAGTATTGTACATAGAGGGGGAATATGATTAAGTATAACTTAAGTCCGACGGCAGCGAATAGATAGATGGGGGAAGGGGGGTAAGAGAGGTAGGACGAGAGATGAAGACGAGGGAGAGGACAAGAGGGGGGGGAAGGAAGGGGAAGGACAGGGAAAAGGAGGGGGGAGAAGGGAGGCTGGGGGGACAAAAAATGATAACATACACATATATATATATATAGTCTCACCGCAAAGGATACAAGACGCAGGGAAGGTCACTAATACAGAAATTAGAGAGGTGTAGTCTTGAATGTCTATGGTGTGTTTGGACGATATACCACTAAAACCACATATGTGCTGGCTGGTATGGGTTACCTGGGGGGGAGGGAGGGGGATGCAAATGGAGATAAACACCTGGCTGGGGCAGGGTGGGGACATTGGAAGGGGCTCTTGGGGACCCGGTGGGGGCCACAAAAAATGTTGACTGTTAACAAAGTTATGTATGTTTATATTTATGCTCAAAGCCACAAACCTGATGTAACTCAGCTTTCGCTCAAGTTTGAAAACACCTCCCAAGACCAATCACACTAGGGTGGGGAACCAGTCGATGCGAACCAGACTAGAACCCATCTCACCTACAACACACTTATATATCACTCCTGATTCAGGCTCCAACCATAACTCCACACACACACTTGCAAGACACTCTCAGCAGAGTCTTCGGCGAACACCGATCTGGTTATCGGTGCGACGCCTGACTATTCCTGCTGGGACGCAAGTGTCCCTCCTCCCTTGAGGAGATTTC